GTTCAGCACCATTTCACCCACAATCCAATGGCCAAGCTGAACGCTTCGTAGATACATTCAAGCGGACCCTTCAGAAACTCAAAGGGGAAGGAACGACACAAGAAGCTTTACAAATTTCCTGTTCAACTACCGCAGAACACCATGCCCAACATTGTGCGGACTGTCACCAGCCGAAGTTTTTCTCGGAAGACGTTTGCGCTCCACGCTCACATTGCTGAAACCGTCGGAATCAAGGTCAGAACCGAGAAGAAATCAGAAGATGGAAACTCAATTCAACGTTCATCACGGAGCAAAGCCAAGAAGGTTCAAGCCTGGTGATTATGTCTGGATTCGCGACTACCGTGCTGGATACCCAAGGTGGACACAAGGCCGAGTGAAACTTCAACATGGACAGTGTCTATATGATGTTCAAGTCGACGACCAACTCTGGAGAAGACACGCCAATCAACTGCGGCCCAGTACCTGCCCAGCAAATACGACATCGCTTATGGATGCATTCGATTTGCCGCTGCTTCCATGTCTTAACGCCAAAGCCCACACAAGAAGACGATGCTGTGTCGAACAGGGACCAACTGCGGATCCAAGATGCCGATCCGCCTGCTCCACTTGTGAAACTTTCGTCACTGACAACGGGAACGTCATTCAAGTTTAGACATTTGATTCTACCACCATTAAATTCGCGTTTATGTAATCCAGGTGATCCAGCGAACGGCGGTGCGTCTGATGTGTCTGACAAGGACCCGACATGTGTGCCGGATGATGCAGAACCAACGACTTCAAAAGAGGTTTTAGAACCAACTCCAGGTATGTGCTTCTCTACTCTTTTTTGCTGGAAAGTCATGGAGCATTGAGGCGTTAAGAGTGCTTACTGCATTTCGCCAGCGTTTTGAGCGTAAAAGAGCATTTCAAACGACTAGGAAAGCCTAGATATCAGTTTGGCGTTCTTGCAAGCTTCCTATATCCCCAATCTGTTTCTGTTCCAGAGGCAGGTCCGCAACGGTGAGGGGGGGGGCATTTTGCACTTTTGCTGCTTTCCATCGACGTGTCGACCCATCTAGAGGGCCACTTCATGAGCTTACAAGAGTTGACAGGTTTTGATATGGTGCCTCCAGTTTTACAGAGTTCACAGGTTCCGCCAGAGCGGGACTTGTAAACCGGGACTAGTTAAGCAGCAAAAGTGTAAAGTTCCCCCCCCCACCCTTGTCGCTCCTGCTCCATATCCCTAGTAAAAAGTGAACACAACCTAATGTTTTTCATTTAGCAGAGGAAGCACCCGAAGGAACTTCTCCCAACCGTCGTCAATGTAACTTAAAGCTGTCGGGTCAGCTGTTCCTGGGGGTCGTTGAGGCCAGCAAAAGGGGTATTCATCCCGTTATAAGGTACCCTATTCCAGGTGAGTGTTCCAAGTCGACTTCATCAATTCTGATGTGGTATTGGTGTTTTGCTCACGTACGTTTTCAGGTGGGAATACGTGTTATGCTTTCGAGTATGTGCGTACCACAAAGAGAGGACAACTGGTGGTATATCGGTGCACGAGGTGCAAGAAGAACGGCTATACCACCAGCATAGCAGTATGGAACTACCATTAAGATTTCTAGTATGCGTTCCTATACTTTATCATTTCAGGTGCAGAATGGTAATGAATTTATAGGTGATCCTACTGAAATCCCGCATGTGTGCACTCCACTAAAGAATGCTCAAGACAAAGTGACGCGAATGGTATATCAGGTAGAAAGGCTGACCTTTAGTAAGCTTCATAATTCTTTTTAAAAGCAGAGGGCTTATTTAGTCATGCCAAGCAATTGCGACGGATCCACAGCTTGCCGAAGCGAAACCTAGTCAGTTGTGGAAGAGTATTGCTCAGTTCATCGACGACAATGCACCAGACGGTATGCTTCATTCTGTTCATCGATGGCAATCTGTGAAACAATGAGTTCAGATGAAGCGGAGCGCGAAACGATGCTGAGGCATTTTTACAAAGGCGGATTTAAGTCTCGACGAAGATCGATCGCAAGGTGAAACGCCCCCTATACAGAATTCGTTTCTTACACATCAGAGTGTATATTTAGGGCAGCCGCGAAGCTCCACGATAGCGGCACCACGAAGCGCACTAATGACCAGAAGAAGCAACCGTCAAAGTCCTTCAGGACACTGCTTAGGAAATGCTCCTCGTAGCCGTGCGGGTGAAGTCTAACAGTTATGTAGTTTGATAGAACTTCATCATATAAGAGTAGCCTGGACCATGATGCCGTCATGAAGATAAGAATTTAATGTCTTCCACTATGTTACGCGTAAATGTATTTTAGGAGATAATGCTATTAACGTTGTAAAAGTTTTCGGATGTGTCCATACATAAATTGCTTGTCTTATGTGGTTATTGTCATTGTTCATCACGGTATCTTATAAGCGGGGTAGAAGGAAAAAAGAAGCTGTTCATGGAGGACATAATCACAGCTTACTTCTGCTGTAGTTTACTTCTTCACCCCGGCTATCACGAAATCACAAGAATGGGAAGGCATTCATGACGGTGGTCAAGCTCGAGAAGTCTTTCTCATATGCGTTAGATTCGTCGGCCTATTTACCATTTATTGCCCCGAAATTTGATATCAGGCCAGTTCCTGACCGACTTTTCTCCGGGCAGTGGGCAGAATTTGCTGAAAACTTGGCTCCAGGGGTAGTTCGACCCGCTGAACACGAATATCGCATCCGCTTGACCCGAAACCTCCTGGCGCCCGCGCCACGGGCGCCGGCGCCAAAATACTCGAAATCACCAAATTCGCTGAAAACTTGCTCCCAGGGGTAGTTTGACCCCCTGAACACGAATATCACATCCGCTCGGCCTGAAACCTCCTGGTGCCTGCGCCACGGGCGCTGGCGTTCTTATTTGTGGCCCTGAAGAGGGCCGTTGAGCTGGTATACAAATACCCTTGAGAGAGAGTTTTCAGCGAATTTGGTGATTTCCAGCGTCAGGAGGTTTCGGGTTAAGCGGATGCGATATTCGTGTTCAGCGGGTCAAACTACCCCTGGGCCAAGTTTTCAGCAAATTCTGCCCACGGAGAAAAAAGTCGGTCAGGAACTGGCCTGATTTCGGATGACTGGGGCAGTAAAGGGTAAATAGTGCCGGCTCTTCTGTCCGTGTTTGATCAGATACTGGAAGACAGAACTACCTTACAGTCGTTCAAAGGGTAAGGGCAGGACTGTTGAGGGCGAGCGGTTGTTGCTAGCGTCATTGGTGGGAGGGCTGCGAGATGGCGTTTGGTCACATCCAGCTCAGCCCCTTCACCAGTTGCACTTCCAACAGCCCCCCCCCACCCCATTTAAAACTGCGTTCAGAGTTCGTGATGACCGCAAGAGTGCCCGTAATTCATAGACGTGAACGCAGTCGCAGAAGGCTGGCGTCTATGCGCAGCCCCGTCTGCGGAGAAAGCTCGATAGATACGCGCCGGACCGTTGTGTTCAGAAGAGATCGCGGGCGATAGGATGTCAGGATTGCTTAAAGACAGCCCCCGCTGATCAAAGTGCTCCGTGCGCTCGCTTGCTGTGAGTAGTCTACCTCCTAAGCGTTAGAGACTGTTCACTTTTCGCGACTCTGTTGTGAGCGTGAGGCTGCTATAGCCGCTCAAAGTGCTAGTTCTAACTCCTCCTCAGTCGGACCGCCTTTACTTGCTAGATGTCCTCCGACGGAGGCCACTCACTTGTTCTTAGTTGGGGCGGCGGCATTGCTAATGCCCATAAATATCTGCCTCCCTTCATGAACCAATTTACTCAATTTGCGAGGTGATATACATTTCAATTCAACCCATTTTCGGCGAGTCGCGTGAAGTGAAACGCGTAAAAAACACGAGTGACGCAATTTTCGTGATGCAAAACCACGACGCACAAAAGGTGCGCTACCGTAATCACAAATTCAGACACCGTGTTGATAAAATTCCTTTTTCCTTCCCAGAGTTTTTCCTCTGCGTTTTTGTTGTTTTCTTTTTGTATTCTTTTTTGCACTGGATGATATCAACTACTGCGAGATGTGATAGAGAGATTTGTGAGCTAGGGGTTGCACAGAGACCGCAGGGAGGTGTGACTGTGAGGGAGCGATTTTGTTTATGTTGTTCTGGAGAACGCTTCTTGCCTGTTTTCTTCTTTGGGAGATTACTTATCAGCTGCTGTTTCATAATTGGAAAGCAGCTATCCATGAGACTTTTATCGCGGGAGCTGTCTTTAATCACGTAGAGTGTCGACGGTGTCGACTAGCTGTCTGCGGCCGCATTCGCGCCTATAGCAGTGTTGCGTTGCTGTAATTGTAGCGCGTCGGCGCGCATTATAGCGCGTCATCGCGGAGTCTGAACGCTGTCTAAGAGATGGTGCAGTGGTTTGCTTCACCATTGTTTTCATAACTCCAGCCCACAAGTCGGTCGTATGACGAGCGCTGGGGATCCCAAACGCGTCTGTTTCACAAAGTCCGAAATCTGAATCTCACGAATTGAGATCACTGTCCGATGAAGATGTCCACATAGACCGTCACTGCGTGTGGAAGTAATTTTAGGGGTACGCTCTATGAGTGGAGTGTCTTCTTTGTCTATCCATCCTCTAACAGAATGCCGTTCGTCTCCACAAGGTCCTATGTGACTGAAATATAAAACGAAAAGTCGCGATTTCAAAAATTCTTTCCGCCGCTCATTGTCACTTCGATGTATACTCCAATCCCCGACATGCGATAGGCGTGGCTGCGTGCTTCATTTGAACGTGGTGGTGCGCCTTCAGTGGAACATTTTCGTTATGATACAATTGTAATTGTTTTTGTCCAACACAAAGCAATATGGCGATTGTATATCCCAGCGGGGACCCATCCTGTACTTCTACATGCTTGAATGGAGTACGCAGTCACGCCCACCGCGTCTCAGGAATAGTGTGTTGTTCAGTGTCACCATTCATAAAAAAGGGTTACTCAGTTTCAAATGAGACCTCTGTCGATCAAGAGTCGCTTACTGTATGGTGAAAGGGTAAAAGCGGCCCTGGTAGCGTTATGGAGAGCACACTGGAGGGTCGGCGTGAAACAGAGGTTCGAGTTCGAGTCTCGCCTGAGATCTGAACTTTGCGCACTTAGCATTCTTGCTGCTCACTGCTATAAATAATGTTTCCATTTGATAGAATTTATGGAACTGTACATTAGCATTGGATGAATAAAGCATCTGAGCTTCACTCATTTCTTTGAAAATTCAACGACTCCTGCAACAGGCGTTGAGATTAAGTGTGAACGCGTGATCGTATTCCCTCACACCGAGATTGAATCCACCCAGGTTGCCTAGTCGAATGTACGGCATCTCTTTGTCGCCTTCATGATATCTCTGAAAAGGCTTATTTCAGAGAAAAGTATATCCTTCTAAACTAATATGCAAAGATGATTTTTCCAATGGTAAAATGACTGCCTTTTCATAATAAACATAGCAACACAACAAATCTGTTACTTTGATATATTGGTCTCACTGATATATTGGTCTTATTACCACCCCACACAAATCCTATCCGCAGCCTCATCGTGGCGTGGGGGTGAACGGTTTTGGACTGTTCCAAAAACGTACCAATGCGGAGGGTGCCACGTCAGAGCCTGGCGAGCTACGCGTGGTTAAATTTCTTCTCGCCGAAAACAGTAATAATTATGGGCCTCATTCCCCTGAACCTGAGGGAACCACCGACAGGGCGACGGCTGGGACCGCTCGGGCGAGGCTGCAAGAATCACAGGGCCAACGGAGATTTAAGTCGCCCAGGACTAGGATGACGATCTGTACTTTCAACGCACGGACGCTTGCATCGGAAGCTCACATCGAAGATCTGATGTTGCAAGCCAGGAAGATCAAGTACGACGTCATCGGACTGACCGAGACGAGGAGGCATCGCCCGCTACACGCCGTATACGAGACTGGAGAAGAACTGTTCCTCGGAACATGCGACAGCAGAGGCGTTGGCGGTGTGGGCGTCCTCGTCAACACGCACTTGGCCATGAACATCGATTCGTACGAAAGTCTGACGACCCGAATCGGACGTTTGCGATTGAGAAGATGGTTCAACTCCAGCTTTGACAATCTTCGTCGCCTACGCACCAACATCAAGCTACGACGAGGATGAGCTCGAAGCGTTCTATATGGAATTGGAGAAGTTCTACAAGGAAGATCATACCTTCTTCAAGGTCATCGTCGGTGATTTCAACGCTAAGATCGGACCAAGAACGGCTGAAGAACTTCACATCGGAACTCACGGAACGGAGTGGAATGAGCAGGGTGAAAGGCTGTCTGAGTTTATCATGTCGACCCATACCATCCATGGTAACTCGCAGTTCCTGAAGACCCGCTAGTTTAAAAGATATTTTAGATGGGTCACCCTTGGGCGACATTCTGAGCCACTCAAAAGCTCGACTCCTTCTGTGCCATTGTAAGGATACTCATTCGCGATCTTCAATATGCCTTCGAGACACATATTTCCGTTGAACGTGTCAAAGCATTTGTTTAGGGTATGAAAACGTCGATAAGCACGAATTTGCTTGAGATTTATTATTTTGCCGTCTGCGCACTTACGAATTCATGCTAACTGGTGATATTGCTAATCAATCGTTTTAACATTTTGCAGTCTTCCATACAATCGAGTCCTCTGCTTCCCGTCCGCTCCAAAAGCTTAGCGATGACACTTTGGTGCTGTTTAGTGCTCGCCGACCCTGCGTTTATGACCCGCTCCCCCCTCTCCCTTCACCAGCGGTCAAGTACGACCCCCTATGGGTTTCACACACGATGCTGCACCCTGCGTTCGGCCCGGGGAGCATCGCACCGTTCCGATGTCACTGCCTCGGCAGATTCCTTCATGGGGAGAGAGTGTGGTAGGCCAGGGATAATTCTTGCATTCGCACAGAATCGAAGAGATTTGAATGCGGATTTGGATTACATGAGGCTGGTTTCCGATTAGGGGTTTATTTATATTATTTATTATCATTATTCCTATATATTTATGGCTTATTTATTCTATGAGGCGGAGGTGGTGTAGTGACAAGTGGCGCGCTCACCACTCGCGCGGTCGAATCCCGGGTCGACACCCGCCCAGGCCAACCAAGCCTTCTACCCTCCGGGGACGGTAAATTGGTACCAGATTCGTCTGGGAGGATAAAACACTGACTTGTACATCGGCTGGCCCCCGCAAGTCATTGTATAGGCCACATCGCATTCAAGTAAGCCACTACGATTCTGAATGGAAGTATAGGTTGGAAAGAAAGTCCTGTCAGTGTTTTTTAGATAGCCTACAGTTTTTGATCTTCGAAGCTCGAACATGACGTAACATGCTAAGGTTGTAGAACATTCTCGAAGCTTTTCCACAAGAGGTATATCAAGGCTCCTGCTCTTCCCTGTGTTTATTTATGATGTCAGTTTCACTGGAGCAGCTTCGAGTGATCATCTTCTATGAGTGGCGCCGCGGCACTGGAGCGACGGCAGCGGCCCGTAACATCAACTGTGCATTGGGGGAGGACACCACCACCGTCAGGACTGTCCACCGTTGGTTCGCTCGCTTCGCGAAAGGAGAGACGATCTTCGAAGACAAACCTCGTCTGGGACGCCCTCGCGGCGTAGAAGATTCCGCCGTTCTCGAAACTGTCAGAGAGGATCCAGAGGCTACCACGCGCAGTATTGCGACAGGGCTGAGTGGTGTAGGCATACAAGCTCTAAGCCCCCCCCACCGCCTTATCAGGCCCTTGTATCCAGAAAAGTCCTCACGCGCCACTCGCACTCACCCTCATGCTCTAACAGATGGCACGCGGTATGCCAGGGTGAGCATCTGTCGATCCCTCCTTCTACACCGTAACCGGAAGGAGTTTCTGGAAGATATTGTGACTGGAGATGAAAGCTGGGTCCTCTATGATTCCAACCTACGTCGTGCCATGTGGCTCCCTCGAGGAGAAGACCCGCCTACGCAACCCAGATCGAACCTGCACTCCAAGAAGGTCCTCCTCTGCTGCTTCTGGGATTCGAAGGGCATGCTGCACCACGAGCTGCTTCCGCAAGGGCATACGGTTACCGCTACCGTTTACGCCGCCCAACTCCAGAAACTCGCGCAAGCTCTTCGAGAAAAGCGGCCGAGACGAGCTTCGGTGCACCTCCTCCATGATAACGCCAGACCACATGTGGCTAAAGAGACCCACCGCCAAATTGAGGAGCTAGGCTGGGAGACCGTTCCCCATCCACCATATTCTCCAGACCTAGCCCCCTCCGACTACTACTTGTTCCGCTCCCTCAAGGCTTTCCTAGGTAAGAAAACCTTCAGCGAATTTGATGGCATCAATCGAGAAGTTGCCTACTTCTTCGACTCGCAGCCTCCTCAGTTCTGGGAGAAGGGGATAGCTGAGTTGCCCATTAGGTGGAGCACTGTAGTGGCTAACAATGGCGATTATATTATTGATTAGTTTTTATTTCATGTTGAGTTAGAAAATAAAAAAGAAAAAATCACAACAGTGACAGGACTTTCTTTCCAACCTATAGAATGGGCGCCGCATCCCACAAAGGGATTGATTAACGGCGAAGACTTTATCCTTTTTTATCCTTTATTTATTCTATAGCATCACCTTCTTCATCTTGCATCTTTTCTTATCGGAAGAGAGTTCTTAATTCACGGAGTACCGAGACAGCAGTATTAAAAAAACCTAAAAATAATGTTGGCTGTAACTAACCTCTCGCAGTCCGAAATTCACTGGAACGGCTAGAGATACGGAGCCCGAACGAAAGCCTTTGGGACATACGAGACTGGGTCCCGGCATGATACAGTATTCGCCATCTGGCCACGACGTTACGGTATCTGTAATTAAGAAATTTCGAGGCGCTATCTGCTCCGGGAGGGTGAGTCTCCAGCGAGACTTATTGTTAGCGGCGCCATGTTCTGACCCGGCAAAGTCACGGGGGTGGAGAGGATGCAGTAAGTGAATGGTGTGGTTGTAGGTTGATCAAACCATGATCGACACTGTCATGGTCGCGATGAGCAGATGTACATAACATGGATCAATCCCGCTGTAGAATGCCCCCTCCCCGGGTGCAAATGCTAAGGTTGATCGAAAGGTCTTGATAGCACTTTAACTTTCTTCTTTATTTTCCTCCCATCAGCTTGCAATGGGAATCAATAGGCAAATAGGCAATAGAATCACAAATCTGGTCACCACGGTGGTCCTGCGCAGAAAGACGGAAAGGACAAACGTCATATGTTGTATCGCCGATAGTAGCAGCGAAACTCATGCGAACTGAAACAAAGATACGACACGAAGGGCGATATCGGACGTTCCATCCTTCTGACATTCATATTTGATAGACCAGGGAGGACAACTTGTCAGAACTGGGGAGGTAGGGAGTAGATGAAGTTGGCATCCCTCCCAGCTATTGTCTTCGAACTTTTTGAAAGTTTTCCTACCTTGTAAACGTTTTTTTTACCTTTAACCTGTACGGAGAACAAGAAATGGTAATCAAATGCGTTATGTGATGGATGGGTTGTGTTCCCCGGCCTGGCGACTATTCAGTGGATCTCCTGAGCTGCATGAGGACAGGCGCTATGAAGGAGGTGCACGCAAGGTTGTCCCGGTCGCTTCCCCGAATTGCAAGCCGCCTTGTTACAGACGCGGTGCTCCGATGTTTGCCGTGGGTCGATTTAGCTTTTCAAGGCATGAGGTGGGGGAAAGGCACATGAGAAAAGTAGTGGGTTGGCCCATATGTAGGAGCGTTTTTTTTCACTCGAAAGATCGCGGAGTGCTTACAAGGGCTCAAGCTATTTAGTACTTTCATCATCGACTCACAGATAATCATCGAACCTAATGCCCTGCTGAGTCCACCTGAGAGCTTACTCATGGAGATTCATGACAGAGAATTAGGAACCGTTAGAAGCTATGGAATGCATCCTTATCATAAGCATCCACTTCAGTTGATATTAGACGTTCGAAAGTTGGTGGACGGGCTTTGCAGGCAGCCTCCTCCCCCGCACCTCATGGCTGAACATTTACAGGTCCGAAGTCCCGTCTCCTAATAGCTTGAACCAAAGCTGTAATAAGAAGCGTCTTCCCTTGGTCATATATAACACAAGTTTTGAGCTTCTTCTGTAATTTGAGAGCCCAGATAGGGGCAAAAAGTTGTTGTGAAATGCTCAAATTTGTGTCAACCCGACGCTTCATTCCAGTGAAATAAAAATTGACGGAAATTGGGGAACATTGGGAAGGCAAACACATTATCTTGTGGGGCATTCAATTGTCTATCAAGTGACATAGAACACATTGGAAATAATTCTAACGTGTGCAAGAAAAAAAACGCCATTACTTATGAGCCAACACAATAGTTGACCGGACGTTGAGACCGTCTCCGCCGCTCGGACCTTCTAGGGCAATTATCGCCAAATTCGATCGTTTGTATGAATGATTAGGTTCATTTCATGAGCAACTATATAACAGGGATATTTCTCTTCTGATTGAAGCACTACTCGCGTCTGATGAACATAAGAAATTATCCATCTCAATAGCCAGCGTATGCATTGTTTTCAAAGTATGTACAGCACCTGTAGAGTATGATTTCTCTGTCAGATCGGCGTCGGAAACTTCATTTCGGGTGACCGAATCGTGAATTGATGAAAATGGAAGGCCAACGACTTCTCCTAAAAAGACAACGGTAGATATTAAAAAACATGTAAAAAGCCT